CTAGATATGTAGCTCTGTATGCAAGGGTAAGAGAGGGATTATTCCTGAGCATGCAGAATTTCATCTGTTAATAATCTTCACAGAAAAACTTAGGAAATTGGACAAGAGAGAACAAATTATCTTGCGCTGTGTCTAACAGACATTTTTTCAAATGTGAAAATCACAGCTCTAAATGGGAGTGTATAAGTACACAGGAAGGACACTCACATCAAGTTTCTCACTTTTTTGAGTATCTAAAAAAGCTATTTTTAAAACATAAGGAACATCCTAACATGATACATTTTCCTTTTGTATTTGTACTTTTCTAAGTGACTGCCACAACATCTGAATCACTGTCAGGGCTCGCAGTGACTACACACGTAGTCTGAATTATCCACATCATTTTGCAATACATCATCATATTGCAAAAGTTTTATTAAGGGGTAACCCAAAGACTTTATTCTGTTTCATTCCTTACACTTAGTTTTTCAATCTACTAATCAAAATCATACTGAAAGATATAATAAAATGGAAACCTAGTTATTTGGAGAACAGAAGACAGACACACAAGCAGTAACTCTTAGCAGCACTAAGCTGATTTCAGGTAGAAAGGCTTTGATTCATACTACTCAACTTTAGGCACTTAGGAAGGATAATTTGTGAAATGTCCAATTGTTCTGGGTTTGTTATTATGGTTTATGGGAAGGAACAGGCTCCTCCAAATAGAGATTCAACTCTCCCTCCTCTTTTCCATGGAATACAGGAGTGAGGGGCTCCTGATTTAGCCATCTAGGCTAACTGCCCGAAGCAAGGCAGGATCAATCTGGCAACATGAAGGATTGAACCCGTTCAGATCTTGCTTTAGTAAGATCATTTTGTTGGGCCCAATTTACAATATCCTTAGTAAGGGCATCCAGCAAACCAACTTCCATCAAAGAAATGCATACATCCTTCAAAAAGGGAGGCGCAAGAACTATTTCTGTTCTGAAAGCATGCATGTATTTGGAAGTTTTCCATGTAATTTGACCCTCTTCTACTTCCCTCTTGTGCCATTTCAAAAGCCAAGTACAGTAACTACCGCTGTGACTGCCAGGTCCCTGTAAGCAGCGTAAGCACCTACTGCATCTCCATGCTGTCTGAAGTTGGTCTGATGTCAACCAAGAAGTTTTAGGGTGGGTGAAACCTGTGTTCAGAAATGCTGGCGATAATTCCATTACCTGTCTCCAAAACTTACTAGAACTGAAAAGCTGTGTGGGTTAAATAAAGTAAATGACTGTTACAGGTAGTACTTGGTGTAAAGGTATGAGGACAGCTGGCCAAACGGCAGACATGTGGATGTCTTCCTTCTTTAGGGACAAGAGGCAAACCCCAGATTTTGGCATCCAGTAGAATAATGGGGTAATTAAAAATGTAATACAGACTGTGGCAGCAGGGTTATTGCATGAATTGCTTTGAATGTATTGTGAATTATCTGCATCCATTTAAACACGGTGATCTCTACTAATTTTTTAATTAAAGAATAAACACTTTACAGCTTCAAAGCACAGTACAGATATAAACTAATCAACATATAACAACTGTGTGAGGAAGTTTAGGAAAATACTGTATTCCTCAGATACCGACAGCTGATACCATATCAAAGGCCAAGAAAATTCTTCCAATTGTCCCATTTCCTAAAGATTCCAAATGCAAAATTACAAGAGAACAAACCACCTATACACTTTGCATAAATAACCAAACTTTTAAAACCCCAATTATAAAAGGCTGTAGTTTAAAAGCATTCACAAGTCCATGTAAATGAACGCCGTGATGCCAAAAATATTCTGCCCAAGGTTAAACTGAGAAAATACATATTACTAAGTCATTTTTGATCAGCAAGTGATTGCAGTACTTTGTTTTTATGCCCAGCCCCGAAGAGAAATCCGACTTGAAGAGACATTAGCATACAAATGGGATATGAACTTTCAAAGCTTATGCAACTGTTACTCCATTACAGACAGCTCAAATCAATTAGGTTGTTAAAAATGAGAGAATAAATCTTTGTTTCAGTTTAAAATATGAGTACTCCCTGATACCTCAGAGACATACATGACATTTGAAGCTGGTAAAAATTTAGCTTGTTGAGGAGGGGAAAAACAACCCCAACCAGAATTCACTTAATGTTCTCTGTGCCACTGTTATTCTCCTCCGTCCCCTCCTCCTTGCTTCAATGTTCCTTTCTCTCTCTCTCCCCCCAAAAAAGTGATGGAGAGGAGACGACTAAATTTTCCTAAGATGATTTGATTCAGTCTTCAAACGTAGTAAGTGTGAAATTAGAGGGGTGTTTATCCTGCTTAGTGGGAAAAACCTCAGCATAGCCATGACTACTTAAATTCCAAGTACCTCTGTAACGAACACAAGGAAAACAATTAACAGTAAGCGGAAGACTTTGCTGCCAAGACTGAAGGATGATTTCAGCAAGTATGAGAAATGCAGGCACCTGCAATGAACAGTCAAAGAAATAACTAAATTTATTCTAGTTAGTCCCAACTGTCCACTTTTGTAGGTTTTCAGTTAACAGGCTTTGCCAAAGCTTTCTCAAAGTTACATGGATCCCACAAAAGCCTATTTTAGTTTAAACATTAGGAAAACCAAACAAACTGATGGGTAGTATCTCGCCAAAAAGTAAAAAATGGCCCTATATGAAACAAATTAAAAATAACCACATTTTTCAGAGCCTTAATAGCTGCAAAGAACATTCTGCTTAAAATACTTTCAAGACTAAAGCAACAAGATGAAAACAGATACTAAACAACTAATGGTGTATATATTTTATTAAATGTTATCATTTTACATTTTCATATAGACAAAATCATAAACAGTGAAAAATCCAAAGCCTGCAGAACAAAAGATCTCTTGTAAGCAAGTATTTTGCAATAGAACATTAAGTGGTTTCGGTGAATCATGATTTGCCTAGAAAATACACAAGGTTGACTAGACTTTACACATGTCGTCATGCACTTCTGCTTCAGTTTAACATTAACACATGCAGTAGACCCTCTGCATAAACAATTTTTGAAAATTCGGTTATAAAATGCTATATTAAATCTCCCCACACCCCCAATTCAATATAGGACCTGCCAGAGGCCAAACCGATACTAAGAGAAGAAGAGGAGCCAGGTCTTCATCTGTCACTTTACAGTACATCCACTAACTAAGCACTTTTCTGCACACATAACAATTTACTGCTCACTTCAAACTCTCATGGATTTGCCTGAACAAATACCATGTGTGGTAGGTACCGGTGGTACGAGGAGAACTCGCCCACTCTAAAAGTTCACTCTTTCCCGAGTATCTTACAGCAACTAAAGAATTTACATACTTGCACATACCCCAACAAAGCATAAAAAACTATTTCTTCAATTTCCATATTCCACAAGAAAAGCCCAAATTTTAGTTGAACTCATGCCATTTTATTACTCTAAAACTGTGTTTTTCAGGTAGCTACAATAAAATTGTTAGTACAAGCAGTCCATTATTAAGCTTGCTCAAAAAATGGTGTGCATTATCAACATCGGTTGCACATCCTCAAAACAGTGAGTCAACAAAACTGATTAACGGCTGTCAAAATGTTCTCACATGTTCCCAAGGCAAAGAAATGTATGTAATGGAGCATACAAAAGGTTTTCTTCTATATAAATATATTTAATACCACTATTGTGTTTGCATATTGGAGAAAAGCTGGATCAAAAACCGCTGTTTTACTTGAAGCAAGGTTTTTGAGGTCCCGAGTTCTCAGCAGAATCCATTTCACTGTTCAACACCAGCCTCTGAAGAAATTCTGTATCTGACAACTTTCTGCTTTATCCATACCATGGAGAATTTCAGCATGCCATAAGTCTAGCTGACAATTGCAATCCTTATTCCAGGATATATACGGGACTTTAGTAACCTGGGACCCAAGTATGTAACTTCAAGTTAAAGTTTAAGTAACCTGGGACCCTTCTTTGAGGAGAAAGACCAGAATATTTACTAGGATCAAAAATCTTGCTGCAATAAACAAGAAAATGTGAGATTGGCTGCTTTATGTCACTGTGGAGAAACAGCACAGTGTTCTGCACTAGCTAGAGCTTTCCAGCAGACTCCAGGATTAAGGAGACTGTACTGCTCTAGTACGGCACTGGTTTAAGCAAAATAGAAAACCAAAACCAAAACCAATTGGGGCTATATATACCTTTTTATGAGAACACAGTGGAATTTTCAAGCCAGCCAGAAACAGAGTAACGATATTTATGCAAGAACTTCATGCCAATATAGAAACCATAATACTCTTAATTCTTCAACCTATATCAAACTCTCCCCATGTAGCCACAATGGGATTGCTAGTATGGATACTCCATGGTTTAACTTCCTAAAACTGGACTTGACCACTTGTGGATGTGTATTTCTATCCCCAGAGGATTGTTTCATGACAATCGTCAATGATGCACTGTGCTAGAGCAAACATACATAAAGGTTCATCGAAATTTGTGCTCGCCTTTGTTTCTGGAGGGGGATACAGTACCATATGAATTCTGATTCCTGTCAGCTGAAGTGTCAGCAGCGAGAACAGCAAGTCTATAGCTGTTCCTGGACAGACAGATTGGATCACAGACGTCTAGGCATGAAGGAGCAAGCATAGCTGGGTAGCTGCTTCTCATTTAAATGAAGTGCATGGTTCTATTTACCTATTAAACAAAATTTATTCCCTTCAGACAAGCAAAATAAACAACAAATACTGGATATAGGTAATTTTAAAAATATAAACCCAAACAAGAGTTGTTTTGTTTATAGAACAACTATCTCTCAGTCATGTCACAGTTGTTTTCACTTTGGCAAAATAAACTAGATTGAACTGCTGTGCTCAGAGTACCAAGTAGTATCTGCAAGAGGGATGCTGAAATACTAGAGAGAACCTAAAGGAAAACACCACCACCACCCCCCCGCCCCAGTTATCCAGGGAATTAAACCCTTTCCCCCTGAGAAAGCAAAGCCCACAAGGCAAGATTTAGGATTTTAGCTTATGAAACAGAATTCTGAGGGATGACCTGATCCCTGCACGTGGGTCCCAACACATGGAAGAGGAACTCCAGCAGTGCATGACATTTGAATCTTGCTGAGAAGCGCTAGATGCAATAGCTGGAAGTTAAACCTGAAACGAAATACAGCCCCTAACTGCAGATATTTGAAACAGCTTATCAAGGGAAACTGGTGGACTCACCAATACTTAATCTCTACAACAAACAGGGAAGTCACTCCAAAGCATGTCATTTTAAATGAGCATATAATCACAAAGCTAATGGATCAGCAAGACTTCAAAAGAGTTGAGAAGAAATCATAAAATAAAAAGAACGGCCTTTCAGATGAACATTCAGAGTATACCATTTCAAGAACATGCAACATTCTGGCAACTACACTTTTTTTTTTCCATCACTTTCTCTGTAAAGTGAAGAAAACATGCACCTAGAGTATCTCAGTCTGACAGAGTGCCTGAAATCCACCGTCAGGGGAAAAACCCACTGCTGCCAATAAACGAGCCTCTTCTTTGAGCCAAATACACATTCAAAGCTTCTAATGCTTCATGCGTATGCAGGCAGACAAGGCATTATTCAGCGTTTTTCCATTTCACACACACGTAGAGCTGATGCTCTTTTCATGGTATACATTATAATGTGGGGAACAGGTTACAGCAGGTGGACCTTTGAACTTTTGCCTTCACAGCAACGTCAAATTAGCAGTATGATTTTACATACTCCCACCTGACATGTGGCAAAGCTCGCAATCCTGCTGGTCCAATACCCTCTCCCTGACACAGCTCAGAACCAGGTAACTCGAGGAGAGCACAAGACCACTGTGGCAGACATATTTTAATATTCTGTAATGCAGAAAAGTACAGTTCTTATTCTCATAAAGATTAGTTTGAACCCTGAGTCATATGCTTTAATCTCTTTTCTAAATGTTTTTTTGGCTTTTGTTATAAATGCACTAGGCCATTTTGTTATTCATACAAATATCTGCTTGCTTTGAATCTTGCTGAATGATTTCCTCCGGCAGCTAGTTTCATTCTAATTACATGGTTTGAAAAAGTATTTCCACCTACCATTTTTCAAAACTCCCACTTTCTAAGTATCAGGGAATGTCCTTTTGGGCTTGTACTATGAGACATCACAAAGCTATCTTGCCATACTAGTTCCTCTTAATGGACTGACAAACAATCTTAATTAAGTTTTAACATGTCCGAGCCAACCTTTTTCACAGCTGATCATACAAAAAAAATTCAAGTTCTATGGTTAATGAGTGTGTTTAGAAATACTTTAATGCTTTAAAAGAATAAGACTACCTGTTCTGAATGAGGACTGCACTGTTTCCACTGCCTTTTTGTTACCTATTTTCTTAAGAAACCATGGCAAAATTAGCTTTATGTCTTCTGCTAAAGAATACTAGAGTCCTGTGATAGAATTCTAAAACAAATCTTGGCTTCACAGCAGCAGATGTAGTTCAGTTTAACAAGCCAATAAATATTTTAAGTGACTAGAGAGCTGGGACTTTTATAATATGATCCAGGTTTAAAAGCTAAGAAGGGAGTCAACAGGTACCAGAAAAAGAAAACACACAATACCTGTGTGGGTTTCTGCCTACTGCTAAATTAGAACATTCCATTTTGAGCAATACCTTGAGAAGTTATCCTAGTGTCATAACACATGTTAACCTGAGAAGTGATGATTTCTGTTTAAAAAGCTTGGTGGATAAAAGTGATCACCAGCAGAAACAAAAATGAGATATACAAGTTCAGCAGAATTCAAATTACAAATCTAGCCTCGCTACATTCTCTTGTAGTTTACTGCATGAGATGGTCAAGCTGCTTCATTAAGTCATTCAAACATGAACACATGCAGCGTCTTCAACATTTCACACCGAAAAAGGCTGCCTTAAAAAAAAAAACCAACAAAAAACAACAACAAAAAAAACAAAGGAGAAAGTGAAAATAAAGCTTCACACTAGACTCCACAGGCGTCTTAAACCAGCAACTCAAACCACAAAACTAGCACTGCCCTACGCTTTGCAAAAGAAGGTAAAGCTACATGCAGAAGCCGAGCAATCCACAACACGGCAGGTGAGGCGAGAGGGCAGAATCGGGCACACCGCCACGCCGCTTCCCCCGCGGGCGGGGAGCCGGCGGCCTCCTCTAACCGGCCGGACTGACCAGCCGAGGGGAACGTTTTCAGCCTGCCAGAAGGGAAGCCGGGCCATCCGGGCACAGGGGAGGGGGCGGCCGGAGCGGCGACCGACCGGCGGCGAGGACCGGCGGCGGCCGGAGCACCCCCGGGGCGCAGCAGCTCCGCCCGTTCGGCTGCCGTCCCTCCGAACCGCAGCGCCGGCCGCGGCCAACCCTCCCCGGGGAGCGCAGGAAAACGCTACTCCCGTCCGCAACCGCACCGCTTCTCCGCCGGGAAACACTCCTTGCCGGCCGCGGCGGCTGAGGTCTTCCCCGGCGCGCCCGCCTCCTCCTCCAGGGACGAGGCGGGGATGGGGGGGGTGCGGGCAACCGAGCC